AAACGTGTTGCTTTGAATATCAGAATTAACCTTCATTTGATAACGAGTCACCCTCTCTGATGATATTATTCAAGCACGGATCTTTGTTTGCCGCATCAAAACACTTTTACTTGACATTTATTTCAGGGCGAGGACAACGAGGCAATGAAAGGACTGTCGAGCATTTTAAAATCTTCTGTGATATTTTGTTTACTTCGTGGATGGCAAGGAAGCCACGCAGGTAAATAGAACCAGTTTTCACACAGGATGCACACGTGTACGTGTACTCCTTTTTTTCCTCTCCACAATATACACCCCATCCCCCATCTCCCCCCTAAAATAAATAAATAAATAAATAAATAGAATGCGCGACATGAGACAAAAGAGGAAAACATTCTCCATTCGTTTGCACTGCATATTACAATAAAAGCATCCTTTTCTACTGATTTATGTATTTTAGCAGATGCAAGGCGAGGCACTCTTCATTCATTTCCCCGCCCCCTTTAACATCTTACCAAATCCTGGATCATACAGTGCATGTGTTTACTTACTTCAAAAGTTCAAAAGATTGTCCTTATTTTGCATGGTAGTTACTATGTTGAGTCTGACTAGAAAGGGAAGTGGTTGCGGCATCAGAATTTACGAAATAGTTATCCCCGCCAATAAACGGGTTTTATGAAACTATTTTCATTACGTTATGTTTGTGACTGGTGACTTTATTTATCTGCGATACTCTGTCTGCCGAACACTGGTGATACTCAGATTCTATAATCTCTAGAAGGCAATGCATACGCAAAAAATAGGATTAGATTGTACGTTTATCTTACCCAGTCACATAATAGACATGATTTATATCTTTTACTTTTTTGTACACCCAGTAAAGCACTAATTGACGTTGAAAGCCTAAAGACATTACTTTCACAGGGTTATTCAACTTCTACCTTCGGGCCTGATTTTGAAATACAAGAAAAATAGTCTACGTTGACATATTTCTTACATCTTAAAAAGTGTAAAATTCAAAATTAAAACTAATTATTCATCATTTTGTATTAAAGGTTGTGTCGTGCCTAACGTTCCTCATTCGAGACGAACTCCAACTGCTGCCCGTGTTAACAGTCACCAAAGTGTTACCTACACGTGTGTTACTCCATATATACATATATACGGTTCTCTTACAATCACCTGTACTGATAGAGAAGAAGTATTTGATAAGAAACCACCAGTATGTGGCCGTGAGTATTCCTATTTTGTGGATATTGTGCTGGAGAATACTACCGAATAAAAAAAGGTTTTCTTTAATAATTTTCTTGAATATGATGTGGAATATTTTATCTACAATGCATTGTGTAGAATTGTGGAAACCGTGAAGGCAACTAACTCTAACCTCAAACATATATTTCTGAAAATCTTCTGTTTCAGTGCCAGAGTACGTGTTGTATGCATATGAAAATATAAGCATCAGCGGCGGCGAATGGAAGGGTTATTGGCCACTATCCCGCTGTTTACAGGCCTGTAACGATGACACAACATGTGAGGCAGTTGACTGGGATGGAAGTTGTTGGTTTCATTACAGTTCTTCGTCGTGCAATGATTTAAGATTTGTAAGCAACGTTCCTCACTATCAAATGAAACAATGTTCCGGTAAGATGCAATTTTTGTTCACCAATTTTATTTAGATGCTTATTTATTTATCTTATTTTATTAATTTTTCTTTTTATCTCGTGGAGGTTAACAGAGGCTCTAAGTAAAATAAGGAAAGTATGTAAATGAAGATGGTGTGTCATAGAATACGGTCAATATCTATGAAACATACCCATCACCATTCAGAAAGAAGATACTTACGTATAGTCACAAATAATCGTTAATTATCCAGGGGCTTCCTGCATTACCTAAAAAGTTACCTAAGGCCCGTTTTGTTTCCTACAGGTCATTCCGCCTACAGCTGCCTCTGTTCTACTGGAGGAACGTGTGTGAGAAGATACACCTCAGGGGCACAGATATCTTCACAAATACCGATACCTTCAGAGGAGTGTGTGTGTAACCTGGGACGTACCGGTGACCAGTGTCGTGATTGTAAGTGGGACTTTGGTTTTGATTGTTTTAACAATTAAATTAAAATTGTCACACTTCATAATTGAGATCGAATCCAAAAATCGCCTGTACAAAAGATGCGGTTTTTTTTTTCAGAATTAAACAGAATGCACATTGAACACAACCGTCAATGATATCTATTTTGCATTTATCATTAACGTCATAAAATATATATGAAATTAATAATTAATACATGTAGGTGTAAGTGTAAATTATCAATATATAAGGTTTTTGGTGCAACTAAGTGGTCATGTATTTTTACATACATTGCGACTAATGGATTTCTTTATACCCCCGTCACACTTATTCGGAATCAGCAGGAATGAAGAAGAATGAGTCTGAACGAAGAATTTTTAAAATTCGCACCACATTCGGGGAAAAATTTCAAATTGACCTTAATTATTGTATGAGTACCGTTGGAATACTCAGAATGCGCTTGAATTCGCCTAGAATGATGAGTGCACTTTCGACTGTATTAGCTCTCAAAAGCAGTTCGAATGTAGTTGGAAAACTAGAAATATTTATAATGTTGTAAGAAGGCAGTAAGAATATTTAGAATATACTTTGAACGGCGCACTAGTGTAGTTCGATTGCTGGCAACATTAATTTTTCAGCTCATCCGAGGCACATTCGAAACATTCTGGCGGGATATAAAATCCCCGTCACACTAGAGGCGGAAGGGTTAAGAATGGTGTCTGAAATACATTTCTTTGTGCATTCCAGGATATTCGAAGAGCATTCTAAAAACATTCTAAAAATTCCAAGTGCATTCTAAATATTTTTACCCATTATTGTGGCATCCCGAATGATTTTGTCATGTCAAAAACTTTCGAAGTGGAAATTTATCGCAATATCCCTACAGTATTCCAACTACATTTGAGCTGCATTTGAGAGGTAATATACCTGCAATGTGCAAGAATCATTCCAGGCGGGCTCGATGTGCATTCTTAGTATTCCAGAGGTATTCTTACAAAGCCGAAATATTTTATGATAATTTGAAATTCCCTCCCGAATGTGGTACGAATTTTTAAATTTAGTAATTCCGGCTAGATTCCTACTGATTTCGAATAAGTTTGACGGGGGCTTTAAGTCACTTGTCAATTCGAATATTCCTCTAATGTGATCAGAATGTTTCGAATGCTGTCGGAATGCCGTGAGAATATTTATAATGCAGTCATAGTGCAGTTACAATACTGTTCAAATGCCATTCGATAAATTTCCACTGACAAAAATCATTCGGGATGCCACAATATTGGGTAAAAATATTTAGAATGCACTGGGAATTTTTAGAATGCTTTTCGATTATCCGGGAGCGCACAAAAAACTGTCTTTCCGACGGTTTTCTTGCTCATTCCGCCTCTAGTGTGACGGACTGGGGTATTACAGACATACACTTTGTTTTTAGATGTGGAATGCACTGCCCCGACTTTTCCTAATGCAACTCCCTCACCGGCAACTGGGGGTCACAGATTTGGAAGCCATGTTACCTTTACTTGCCACAGTGGGTATCAACTCAGCGATGGTACTGGTTCCAGTTTTACATTGTCTTGCAGTCTTAGGGGAACGTTTGAAGGGGAGAGAAAAACTTGCACCAGTAAGTCTAATATCAAAAAGACATCATGCAAAGTTACACAAATGAAAACATACTGAGAATCATAAAAATAGGCAGTCGGCTGCAGGTTGTAAAATTTAATTATAGCGACGCGCCAACACATGCAAATGAGAATAAAAGTGGAGATCGTGTTCAAGCTGTAATTGTAAATGGCATAATTGAATGGGATACTGCAGAGTATGATAGCATTTTACCTGTCATATAACAACATCATAAAATATCACAAATTAGAATAAATGAAGATAATGAAAAAAATACTCCACCTCCAGGAACCTGTGATATTCCTGTAAGTGATCACCTGAGACAGGTAACACAGCGTTCCTTTACCTTTGACGGACAAACTGTCACATACACGTGCACCACTGGCTTCCAATTCAACGACACGTCAACAGTAAAGAACCTTACTTGTCAAGCCAATGGAACATTTGACGAGAGTTTACCTAGCTGTGTTCCCATATTGTGTGGCTTTCCTGCTGATAAATTCAACTTGAAGGCAGTAGAAGGACCATATGTTTACATGCAGAATGTGACGTTTTCTTGCATTCCTGGAAATCATTTCGCTGGTTATGACGTCAACGCGCCATTTACGTCACAATGCATTGTGACTGATACTCTGGAACCGCCAATACCTGACTGCATAAAAATAGCATGTACTTTACCTCATTTAAACAATGCAGTTACGACTTCTGACAGAACAAATTTGTTTTTCATGACATCAGTTGAATTCAAATGCATGAAAGGATTTCAATTCCTGGATGGTAGTACCAGTGTAACCTTGACGTGTGATGAAACCGGTAGATTTGGGGTGGATACTCTTAGTTGTACAGGTACGAGTTTTAAGGGATATTTATTAAAAAAAATATTACATATAGCACACCGAGAATCAGCTAGTAATGAGCAGTTTGTCCACTAGTACAAAGCCGATTAAACATCGTCAGCTAAAACACACTGTAATTATCTGTAACTGGCGGAAAGGTATTTGATCATGTACAGTCCTTTTCTTTTAAATATTGTTTACTGGGTGCAAAGTTACAAGATCATGGGGTCTACGCACTTTTAATACAGATTTCTGTGTGCAGAGATGGAAAAGTATTTTTAAAAATGGCCGAAGAGTTTATTTATATAAATCCTATTCAAAAAAATGTTTGTATATTATAGCCTATGTGAAATCCTACCATGAAGATGTCCGAAAAGTATTGTAAAAATGGTTGACCTATTTTCAGGAAAGAATAGGCTAAATATTCTTACAAAGATTATTTGCTAATATAGCATACGAACTGGTTAAAACTAACCTATTTATTTCATTTTTACCATTCAGCGATGTTGTCTGATACTGGTACCCAAGCAGCGTCCACAGACCCCAACATTGGTGTCAATGTCGGTGTGGGCGTTACTGGAGCGATAGTGCTGATGTTAATTGTTGTTATAGTTGTTGTATTCGTCAAGCGTAAACGGTAAGTGCCATTAAAGAAATGTTAGTTTATTCATTCCTATCAACGATAAAGGATTTGTGTAGAATAAAATGGAGACTGTTCATGATCGCTATGATTGAAAACTTAACGTATGATATATCTTGACGGTATAAATACTACATGCCACACGAACCATTTAAATCTCAGCGTGTTTCCTGTTAGATAGATATGGACATATTCATTTCCATAATTTACAAAAATGTTATGCATTTGGTCCATCTTGGCGATTTCGGTTATTTCCCCATGATGAATAAATTAATCTGTTCTTAGATTTTGTTTTGGCCAATGTTTACATATTTCGAATTTTGATACCCATCCTCCTGCCTATCGTATTCCCTCAACCTATTTGCTGATAAGTGGCAAATGTGAACTATTGTTTTTCGTTTCCATCCAGAAAACAGCGCCACACCTCCCAGCCATCCAAGGCCATTAACGCTGATCACAGTGACATCTCAGAGTTATACCAAAACAATTTGAGTCCGCAAAGCAGTGCTGGCAGGGATCACGAGTATGTGTCACTGGAGGCCAAACCCACGTCAACAGCTAGCCGCGTGGCTGAGTATGTCAACGTTAATGACAGCGATTATACTGTTCTGCACACTGCAGGAAACGAAACTAACGACAGGCATCCAACACCTGCTGACGTGGATCACTGCGACACTTTAGAGTTCAATCAGAACAGTTTGAGTCCGCCAAGCAGTGCTGATAGGGATCACGAGTATATGTCACTAGAGGCCAAAACTATGACAACAGATAACAATGTGGCTGAATATGCCAACGTCAATGACAGCACATATACTGCTCTTTGCTTGTCAGCAAACGAAACTAAACAACGACATCCAACAGCTGCTGGAGTACATCAGAACAAAGTGTAAAGAAATTAAGAACTTACATCCAAGCATTACTTACATGTGCTCATTAATACCCCCCTTCAAACTTTTAAATACAAAAGTTAACAACCATTATATTAGTGTGTCCAAGGAGTGATAAGATCTCTCAAGTACTGTTGGGTGTGAATTATTCGGAAGAATCAAAATCAAGTAACCAATGGGCGAATATTTGAAAAAAATTTAAACAATGTATTAAGCCGGGGAAGCAATCGCTATCATAAACTGAGACCATGATTGCATCTCCCAGAAGATCTTTCCTGTCATTGAGTAGAACATTTCCAGCCGAATAATGTTGTATAATAATACACTGTACATCCAGGAACCTATACATATATGGTACATATATATATATATATATATACGGCGATGAAGGATCGAGTTCAATCTAAACGTGACGAATAATGTTTATGATATAATTATAACTTTAAAAAGTTTTCTTTGTCATATTTGGGTTACCTATTGTTATCATTGTGCTTATGATGTGGGTTACATCAAAAACATTCTTTGTCAAGTTTATATTGAACCCCTTTATCTTCATATATTATCTTATATCATCCACCGCTTTTAGTTCTTGCACTTCTCAGACAGGTATACTGCTCCGTTAGTTCCCTTGATGTATTATAATCCAGCATTATTCTGTTGGGCATGTTCTTCTCAAAGAAAGAAAAATATTCTGAACAATAAATTTGATAAAAAAATGATGTCACATTCTCATGTCCTCTAAGGCAAGAAAATCAAGCAAGGGGTTGACAGACGTCTTAAAATCGCTATTTTACCAAACAAGTGTATATGTAGGCCTATCCAACATTTTGAACGATTTTGTACAATTATTAACCATACTGAATTATAAACTTTGATTATTAAAATATAGTTCGTATGATTGATGTATACGTTTAAAAGGGAGCAACTGACTGTAAGTCATGATTAAGGGGGTGGGGGTAAATTTTGATATGTAGGTGACCACCCTGCAGCCAAGGTGCCTATTGCATTATACCAAAAGAAAGGTCAACAATAAAGGTTTTTTAATGTATCGAACAAAGCATTCAGATGAAGCAAATTCAGTGTGTGATATAAAATATGGGTCAGCCGTTGACGATTTTGAGCAAAATAGGACTATTTTCACGGTTTTATGAGCTATGATAATGAAACTGGTTTTATATTGTTATTTATGGATTGAAATAGATAAATGCAATTTGTCTAAGCCTTTGGTACATTAAGAGGGGCAAATGCCACGAAATATATGAAAAAAGATGCTTAAAATCCGTCATTTTCGAATATCGCAAACTTCAGAGGGTATGTACAGGGGGTTAGAGGGGTTTTGAAATTCTAAAAAATCTAAAAAATCACAGTTGTACATGTATAATTTTAGATCCATTCCATACAAAAAGTGAGTATCCCCCTCAATATCGCGCAGAGTTACTTCAATCAGGAAGTGTGTCGCATGCTTTTTATTTCAATGTGAACTCGATTCCCATCCACCACGTACGCATGCAGTATGAATACATGTACGTCTGTAAATTAACACCAGCATCTGAGATGGTGTCAATATTTAAATCTACTTAAAGTACAATTTAAAATTGTGAAAAGTGTGAAAACAGTGTGTGCTCTGCCTGCTCTCAAATAAAAGTACCTGTAAAGAACATTAAGCTGTTACATTACAAGTTTAACTTTATATTATCAACTTCTGCAATCTGAACAAACAACAGTGCGGTGTCTTCATATATTACAGGGCAGTGTCAACAGAGGTTGGTACCATTGTTATTCGTATTCAGCTTTCCCCCCTAAGCAGCTTTGTTGTTAACACGGAGCTACACCGTACGTCGTGTAAAATGGGTCACTTCCTTGTTCACAAAACTCCGCAGATACGCACCTAGGCCTCACCACACTTTGACAAGCCTTATCTTTTTTAAGTCACTCAACAGAGAGTTGGCTATAGAAAAATTCGGGTTAGTATAATACCTGTTACATGTACATGTGCTGTAATCAGTACATATAAGCAGCAGAAAAGCCAAGATGTTCAGAGAGATCTGAATGTACTTTGATGAGGATTGAATAGTCTTTGATAGTGTAAGAGCGCCCAGGCAGGTAAGTGTAAATGCTTTGTACAGTAAGCGACATGCTCCATAAGATAATTTAAATCACAGTGCTTAGCCTAAACCGTATTTCTCTCAAATTTTACCGGTGTTAAAAGGCCTACAGTGTATGTAATTAGAACTGTAAGAAGACCGCGTCATTACGATTTGTCACCAACCTACCTGTGGCAGAAGGGCGACACAACAATTTGGTTGGTCTTTTCTGGTAAGACATCTTTATTACACGACTTAAAGGCAGGGGGGAGAAATACCAGTACAACGTAGGTTTATAAAGCAGAGTCCTTTTACAGTGAGCCTTATGTCTTGGACCCTTTTTTCAAATGGAGCAGTAAACGGACTGGACCTGTTCACTTTAGTAGGTCCTAAAGTGTAGGTTTACATGTACTTACGGTACAGGTTTTTTACTCTCTTTCATGAGCCCACCCCACAAGTTCGCTGTTCAGGGAGTAGGGGGAGGGGAGTGGAGTTCAGGTGACTTTCATACGTCATCGACAAGCTATCAAATATTCAATTGCTTAAAACATACCAGTACAGGTAAGTCACTCAATGTCTTTGATTTGGCAGTGGTGGGTTTGAAAACAAATGACCGTAGAGGGCGAACACTCCTTCGGTACACCACACATAGTGGCTAGACAAAAAGTAGATAACAACAAAGGCGTGCTACCTTATCAGAACTTACTCAACGAGCAAAGTTAATCAGTAACACCACGCAGTTGTATAGTAGTAGTACAGTAATGCTGATACATGCTGCAGTGCCTGGGATTATTTGCTTCCTTGTTGGTTCAATTAACAAGTTGGGATTTTTTCTATTGAAGATCTTAGAGGAAATAACGGGGTGATTTTTCAAAATATCTAATTATTTATTCAATCTTTTCTTATTTGTTACTTTGAAAACAATCGGTCCGTCTGTTTGTTTTTAAGTTCTGTTACATGTAGCACTCTACAGGTCGCAGTTTTGATCAAATCACTTCCATTTTTTCCTGAAGGGGTACAGTGTATCCAAACAAGTATGTGACAGGACGTTTTGGGGGTCATTCGGTGCATTTTCACGAGAGAAGTAGAAATAAGATGCTCTAATTCTGGAACTGCAAAACTCTTGCTTGTTGCATTTTGTAGATCATGTCAAGCGCAACACTGATATGTGGCGTCTGTCTTTCCCCAAACGGTTCAGGAGATGCGCTATTTTAAAAAGTATACGTCGCAATGTTCAGTGGTGAGCAATGGTGCAAATTTAACGATTCTTATACACCAGAACCGGCACATACAGTATATCTCCTAATAACTATAGTACACTAAATTTGGATGGGAACTCATATATTGACAATCTTACTGTGACGTTGAATTGACCTTTGACTTTATTTTTCACCATGACCTGAACTTTGCAAACTTTCCTTGAATCTCCAAAACTGGCAAAAATACTACCATTATCACATATGTTACTTATCACATTTATGCATACAATTACTCTTGTGTGATAGGAATACAAATTGGAAGTCACACATGAGCTTTTATTTAAGTATCTTCAAGATCACATCCGAATCCGCTTGTTTTTTTCCGTCTTTTTATTTTGCTCTCATTGTCGTTGGTTGTAAGTGTTTACACGTCAGTGTGATTTTCCATTTTATTGTTTATATACCATTTATTTAATAATAATGTATTTATTTATTACATTAAGCTGTACGTAGAAATCATTTCTTATAAATATAAAGTTGTTTGGCTTTTTTTTTGTAACGTGCTTAAATACGTGTTGCTTTGTTTATTACATTTCGCCTTCGTTTTAGAAGACATTGTTAGTTGATAATGATCGAGTCACCCTCTATGGCGATATTATACAAGCATGGATCCTTGTTTTCCGCATCAAAATACTTTTACTTGACATTTATTTCAGGCCGAGGACAACGAGATAATGGAAGGACTGTTGAGCATTTTAAAATCTTTTCTGATATTTTGTTTACTTCGTGGATGGCAAGGAAGCCACGCAGGTAAGTGGAACCAGTTTTCACACTGGAGATACCTGTACATTGTGTACACGCTGTTCTCCACTCTACACCCCCATCTCCCCCTAAAACAAATTAAATAAATAAATAAATAAAATGCGCGACATGAGACAAAAGAGGAACACATTCTCCATTCATGTGCCCTGCATATTACAATAAAAACATCCTTCTCTCCTGATTTATGTATTTTAGCAGATGCAAGGCGAGGCACTCTTCATTCATTTCCCCACCCCCTTTAACATCTTACCAAAATCCCGGATCATACAGTGCATGCGTTTACTTATTTCAAAAGTTCAACAGATTGTTGTCATTTTGCATGGTAGTTACTATGTTGAGTCTGACTAAAAAAACCGGTGTCACCTAGAATTTCTCCATGGGAAGTGGTTGTGGCACCAGGATTTACGAAATAGTTATCCCCGTCAATAAACGGATTAGTTGTGACTATTTTCATTACGTTATGTTTGTGACTGGTGACTTTACTCTGCTTTGCTGAATTCAGTCCTCCGAACACTGGTGATACTCGGGTACTAGTACATGTAGTATTCATTTGTAGAAGGCAGTGCGTACGCGAAAAATATATTGCTGGGATTAGAATTGTTCGTTTATCTTTCTCTCACATAGTTTACATGATCTGTATCTTTTACTTTTTTACACTCAGCTTTGACCAAAGTAAAGATTTAATGTTGAAAGCTTAAAGACGTATTTTACAGGCTTATTCAACTTCTGCTGTCCGACTTGATTTTGAAAGACAAAGAAGTCTATGTTGACATATATCTTACGTCTTTAAAAGTGAAAAATTAAATATTAAAAACCAATTATTCACCTTTTTGTACTATAGGTTGTGTCGTGCCAGACGTTCCTTATTCACGTCGAACTGCTTCCCGTGTCAATAGTCAACAAAGTGTTACCTACACGTGTGTTACTCCTCCATATATCCATATATACGGTTCTCTTACAATCACGTGTACTGACAGAGAGGACGTGTTTGATAAGGAACCACCAGTATGTGGATGTGAGTATTTCTTTTACGTGGATTATTATAATTATTATTATTTATTTTTATTTTATTTTATTTTATTTTATTTATTTATTTTTTTTTTTGATATTATATGTATGCTGGAGATAACTCCTGAATAAAAAAGGCTTTCTTTAATAATTTTCTTGAATACGATCTTGCATATTTCATCTACAGCACATTGTGTAAATACAAAAATAATGAATTTTTAAAATGTAGGTAAATCTCTAAACATTGTTAGCTATTTATCCGTATACCAATGTATTCAGGATTTCACGTGGGGTAGGGTCGAAGGAGGCATTGGTTTGGGGCTGCAAATAATTGCATTGATCCGCTAGCCAAAGTCTCCTTGACATAAATTGGATCCTGAGATTTTTGCATATACCGATTGTACCCATTGATTTTACCATTTATACATTTATACAGTTATATCATTCAACAAGTACATGTATGTTTGACAGGGAGAGTGGATGGTCGAGAGACAAGGCATACTAAGTAAAAGAATGTGACTCAGTTGAACTTAAATATATTTTAGACACTCCCTTTTCCAAGGATGTGACTCAAACGGTTAAGATAATGCACACCTCGTTATTACTGTGTAGAAAACGTGAAGGCAACTGGATCTTACCTCAAATATATATATCATTCATGTCTCCTCATTAACCCAAGCGAATATATAAGTAAAGGACAAACATAAATATGGTGTTCGAATTTTTTCCGATAGCGGCCGCTTTTCTTGAAAAGTCCCTATAGTAAAAGAATAGTGTTAGTTTTTATATAGCATTAGATAATGTTAGTTTAATTAAAATAGCTTAATGTTATAGCATAAAAATAAATATCAAAACAGTGTACATATTTTCATTTGTGGGGTTGCAAAGAGGCTGATCATTTCTGAAAATCTTCTGTTTCAGTGCCAGAGTATGTGTTGTATTTATATGAAAATATAAGCATCACCGGAGGCGAATGGAAGGGTTATACATCATTATCCCGCTGTTTACAGGCCTGTAACGATGACCCAACATGTGAGGCAGTTGATTGGGATGGAGGATGTTGGTTTCATTACAGTTCTTCGTCGTGCAATGGTTTAAGATTTGTAAGCAATGTTCGTCACTATCAAATGAAACAATGTTCCGGTAAGATGCAATTTTTGTTCACCATTTTTATTTAGATATTTATTTATTTTTCTTATTTTATTAATTTTTCTTTCTGCATATTTTCTCACGGAGGTGAATAGGGGCCCTTAGTAGAATAAGTTAAAGTATCGAGGAAGTAAAATGACGTCGGTGTGTTATAGAATACGGTCAATTACTATGAAACATACCCAACATACCCAACACCATTCACAAATAATCGTTAATTATCCAGGAGCTTCCTGTATTACCTAAAAAGTTACCTAAGGCTCGCTTTGTTTCCTACAGGTCATTCCGCCTACAGCTGCCTCTGTTCTACTGGAGGAACGTGTGTGAGAAGATACACCTCAGGGGCACAGATATCTTCACAAATACAGGTACCTTCAGAGGAGTGTGTGTGTAACCTGGGACGTACCGGTGTCCAGTGTGTTGGTTGTAAGTGGGACTTTGGTTTTGATTGTTAATTGTCACACTACATAATTGAGATCGAATCCAAACATCGCCTGTACAAAAGATGCGTCCATGTAGTTTATTGCATCGGCTACATAAATATATGTCTGAAAATGTTACGCCTTGGATAGATTTTAAATGTGATGCAAACTATTTATAAAAATCCTCACAATTGTTTCAAAATTAAACAGCGTACACATGGAGCACACGAATGGAACCTTTTGAAATAAGAATTTTGACTAGCTGAATCATAGTTCTAAACAGTACCAAAAGGCATCGTTTGCCCTTTAAAATACCAAAAATATTCGAGGCCCTTCAGCGTGCCCCGAACCACACACCAAGAAGAAGGGACGTCGGATTCGCATCGGCGGATCCCTTCAAATAATCCTGGATCCACCCCTGAAAGATATCGCTATTGCATTTATCATGAACATCTTCTAATGCAAATTAAATTAATAAATAATACATATAAGTGTAAGTGCAAACCAACAACATATATATAAGGTTTTTTGTGCAGCCAAGCGGTCATCGTTGCGACTTATGGATTTCTTTACAGATATACACTTTGTTTTTAGATGTGCAATGCAATGCCCCGACTATTCCCAAAGCAGCCCCCTCTCCGGCAACTGGAGGTTACATATTTAATAGCATTGTTACCTATACCTGCAACAGTGGGTATCAACTCAGCGATGGTTCTGGTTCCAGTTTCACACTGACTTGCGGTCCTAGAGGAACGTTTGAAGGGGAGAGAAAAATATGCAACAGTAAGTCAAAAAGACATCAAAGTTAAAAGATAAGAACAGCTGCATTGCGAAATGAATTAGTCGACTGCAGGCTGGTCCTGATTACAATTATGCTTCTTTGCATAATTATTGTCGGTGTTATAAGGCTTTGAGTAAACTCAAGTGAAATGAAGATATTAAAAAAGATACTCCACTTCCAGGAACCTGTGACCTTCCTGTAAGTGATCACCTGAAACAAATAACACAGCGTTCCGTTACCTTTGAAGGACAAACTGTCACATATACATGCGACACTGGCTTTCAATTCAACGACACGTCAACGATAAAGAACCTAACTTGCCAAGCCGATGGTACATTTGATCAGAGCTTACATAGCTGTATTCCCATATCGTGTGCTTTTCCTACCAGCAAATTTAACTTGAAGACAGTAAAAGGACCATATAATTACAAACAGAATGTGACATTTTCTTGCATTTCTGGATATCATTTCGATGGTTATGACGTCGACGCGCCATTTACGTCACAATGCATTGCAGCTGAAACTCTGGAGCCACCAATACCTGACTGTATAAAAAGAACATGTACTTTACCTCATTTAAACAATACAGTGACAACTTCTGATAGTACAAATCTGTTCTTCATGGCCTCGGTTGAATTCAAATGTATAAAAGGTTTTCAATTTCCCGATGGTAATACCAGTGTAACCTTGCCGTGTGATGAAACCGGTGGATTTGGGATGGACTCTCTAGTTTGTACAGGTACGAGTTTTAAGGGATATATATAAAGTAAGCACTACATGTAGCACCCTGAGAATCAGAGTATTGAGCCCAAATCCCGTCAGCTGAAATACACTGTAATTAACTGTAACTGGGGGAACGGTATATGATCTAGTACGGTACTTTAGTACTTTTCTTTTAAATATTGTTTGCTGGGTGTAACGTCACATAGCTCATGGCCTTCACGCACTTTTAATACAGGTTTTGTGTGCAGAGATGGAAAGGTATTTAAAAAATGGTCGAAGAGTTGATTTATGAATCCTTTTTAAAAGAAGTTTGTAAGTCTTGAATATATATGAAATCCTACAGTGGAGGTGTCAGAAAAGTATTGTAAAAATATTTGACCTATTTTCAGGCAAAATTAGGGCAAAATGTACTTATAAAGAAAATACACTATAGGAGCACATAAAACGGTTAGAACTAAGCTATTTATTTCCCTTTTACCATTCAGCGGTGTTGCCTGAGACTGGTACCCAAACAGCTTCCACAGACCCTAATATTGGTGTCAGTGTTGGCGTGGGCGTTACTGGAGCGATTGTCTTGATATTAATTGTTGCCATAGTTGTTGTATTCGTCAAACGTAGACGGTAAGTGGCAACAAACTATACTGGGTTGTTTTATTTCATTTCTGTCAATGTTGGTGAAAGACCTACCTATCTCCATGTATTTATGTAAAAATTAGAAGAGAGACCGCGTTTACGCTATGATTACATAAATGAACTAGAAAAGCACTCCGAGAGCGCAGACCTCCGCCAATGCAGCAATTTTTGGTTATTATTGATAATCGATTGATTATCGATCCAGATCACCACCAAAACTAATCATCTATTTCTTGGCCCACTTCTGACAGTTCCTGAAAATTTCATCAAAATCGGACCATAAATTTTTGAGTTATGTTGATAGCAAACAGACAGAAAGACAGACAGACAATCAGGGGTGAAGACATTACCTCCTTGGCGGAGGTGATGAGGCACTGCAGAATTTGTTAACATTATACCTGAGAATTAACATACATGTAGGCCCTATCACTATGAAATTATTCACGTTACACGAGTTTTGTCATTTTAATGTTAAAACACTTATCCTTTGATATATCTACTTTTATGTATTTAATGCAATTTGCTGATATCGGTTATCTCCGTCACGATGAATTAAGTTGTCGGTTTTAGGGTATTTGGGGCAATGTTCATACATTTAAATATTTATAATCTTGCTTTTATCATTGTTTTTCTTTGTTTATTTCGTTGCTGATGAGGAATACATTTTTCAGCATCTCTTTTATTTTGTTTCATTCATTTGCCTGCTAACCCATTGACTAGTAAACGGAACGTTTTCGTTTTAGGAAACAGGTGCCAAAATCTAACGAAGATATCGATGTTCCAAGCAACGGAGAGCTCAGCAGAACAATGTACACAGCATCCAATACTTATGTTGACACAAATCCCTACGAACTCGAGGGAGAATGTCCAATGACAGACCGTTATGATCAGTCAAATAATATGAAACAGAATTCTAATAAAGAAAATCCGGCCTCTGAATCCAATATGAACGTACAGGATCTATATGCCGTGCCAGACAAATCCAAAAAGAGCAAAAAAGGCAAGAAGCAGCAACATTCCCCTGTAAGCTATCCAGACGATGCGTATGAATATGTCAGCAAACCCTCTGCCCAGACATCTTCCGTTTCAAGACAGGATTGCAGCAGTACCTATGAACTTGCAGGGCAGTTTCAAAATGATGGCTATACCCGGTCTATCGATGATGCTGATGACGTGGAGTTTGTTGAAAACGACATTTATGAAACAGGAGGCGTTGACAACATGGGCTATGCGTATGTTGAGTCAGTTGAAAACGACATTTATAATTCGTCGGTGTAACTTCATTTAAGAAAAGTTGCGGTCCTTTATGTTTTATATTTGGAAACCTTTTTATCTCAATGTTTGCGTTACTAGTAAGTTGGGACATAAAGGCCTATTATATGGTGAATTGCTCCTCCATGCAAAATACTCCTCATAATGCCCCTTAGTATTAGTGTACTGGTAAAGGCTTAGGATCACTTTAGACTACTTGCTGGTAAACTTAGTGAAACCTTCTTTGAACAAAGTTTGCTTACAATAGAAATCTGGTTTTACCAGCGGTGATGTATATATGTGGAAACTTAAATTCGGAATTACTAAAAGAAATGTCTTTGTTCAGATATGGTCACTTTTGTATAGAAATAAGGGCTTTAAAATACCCTTTTGTGGCTTTCAACACCAAGGGATTCAGACTAGTGGATAACCATATAAAAACTGAGATGATTTTTTCGTCCTGGAACATACTCAGTATTGTATGGGAATTGTACATGATCATAGATTTTCATATATAGTAGTCAAATATTTATTTTCCTGACATAGTAACTGTTTTTTAATTAAGTGAAAATGATAATTAAAAAATACGTACATTAATTTTAAGCTGTTGGAATTTGAGGGTTCAAAACTCTAGCAATTATTATGCACCACACATTTTATGATAAGTGTTTCACAGCGAAGGGTCTATAGCACTTCGTACTGGAGTTGTGTTGTGATGTTGAAAGTCTTACTTCAGTTCGTTATTTTGTTATCATTTCTTTATATATATATATATATATATATATATATATATATATATATATATATATAACTTTATAAGTTCGCCTATCACAGCTAAAAAGTGAGGCAGTAATATGTTATAACTATATACTATTTTTACGTGCCATCATGTCACTACATCTAATACTGTACATATAGTAAAGCAGATGGGTCCTAACTTGGTCGGCCGCGTACATGTACACGTGCTGTACAGGTACATGTATACAGTGTATGTAAACAGCCCCCCCCCCCCCCNTGTACGTTTAATCCGCGGGACAAAAACTTAAGTTTTCTGTAGGCCTACTGTTAGATTCTTAGTCACCAGATATATTTCTTTGAGCAGACTTTTTTTTTGCCTTTCCTGATTCTTCCGACCTTTGTACTTGCATGTTTGGTCCTTCTGTATTATATTTCAAATAGAAGCTATTTTCGTTTTCTGGATTATGATTTAATTCGTTATAAGCAGAATTTCCTTGCATTTTGTGTATTAATGTTACAGTATGTAACGGCCATTCCCCAATTATTCGCAATGTAGGCCTACCTACATGTAGTTGACACATTTATTTTAGTTAGAATTAAAATTCGAGTTTAATTTGCAAGGCTTCTATAATCTGTCAAGCTCTAGCTTGACCATTTCTAAAGGAAATATTTATGTGCAGTTTCAATTAATAGGGCCTACATGAATATACTGGTATTAGTAACGCGAAATATAAGCAAATATGAAACAACTGCTTAGTTTTATACATAATATGAAAAAAAAAACAATGATTCCACTCTATAACACCTGGTCGGGTTTTGAGATTTGAGAAGAAATTTATCAGTTCAGTAAGTGCCTGCGCATCAGCTAAGGTCGACAAAATTCAAACAAGAGCGCAGACCTCCGACAAGGCAGCAAAGTCTCCTCTCAATGCCGTTTCACCCCTAAAATTTCATTCTGTAATGATTTAGTTTTTTTTTATTATTGATTATTGATGGATTATTGATCCGGATCACCACCAAAAACTAACCATTTGTTCCTTGGCCCACTTCTGACAGTTCCTGAAAATTTCATCAAAATCGGTCCATAACTTAGTTTTTTTTATTTTTGATTATTGATCGATTGATTAGCCTATCGATCCGGATCACCACCAAAAACCAATCATCTGTTCATTGGCACATTTCTGACAGTTCCTGTAAATTTCATCAGAATCGGTCTATAACTTTTTCTTTAATGTAGCATTATTAGTGTTTTTTCCTATTGATTATTGATCCGATCACCACCAAAAACTAATCATCTGTTCCTTGGCCCAGTTCTGACAGTTCTTGAAAATTTCATCAAAATCGGCCCATAATTTTTTCTGTGGGCCTAATGTTGCTAACAGACAGCCAGACAGATATAGACAGACAGACAAACGCCTAGGTCCCAACCGAACGTACGGGCTGCTATGTGTGGTCTACGGCCAAATAAATGGGGAAAACGTGGGAGTTCGTGCGTGAGGAGCACGTCCATCGTGCGACTTTTAGAGGACGAAAACAGCAAGTAGAAACTTTTCGACGTGAACAACAACCGCTACGTGCGATCTAGCTACCTTCTAGCCGGACGCAAGGAACCTAAAAACCGTGCGTCCAAAACGTAGTTGGGACCTAGGCTTAACGGAACCGAAAATATAACCTCCTTGTCGGAGGTAATAATATATTACAGTGGTTGAGAGAGTAGGCCCCTACTGTAGGTCAGTGCAATGCTTTAGTTGAGACGAGAAGAGAAAAATGCTTACCACCTCCATATTTTCTTAGTGTGGTTGTGAAGTTGAGTATTTAGAGAGAGAGAGAGAGAGAGAAGGAAAGAGAGTCCCCTCTACTTTTTCATTTTTGGAGTAAGAGCGCATTCAGAACAGATGATCCGCGAGCAAAATATGGCCAAACTCCCATAAAAAGCAGTGCCGTTACTTTTCTGATGGACTCGCCGCCTCCCGTTGCAACGGGGCCTAGTAATTAAGCAACGGAGCCGAGATTTAACCCGTTTAATGCCCGTATTGAGGCAGGGAGATCATCTTTTTTTAATGGGGTCGGCGGATCGGCGGATCATCTGTTCTGAAAAGGCGTTTCGAAAGTCAAGTTCTCCACATGAAATTTTAGCAGCTGACGGAAGTGGTTAGTGAAAGCTGCAGTTAATTGAATCCATTCATCTCATTGGTTAAAATTGGAACATCAACAGTGGGAAGGAAGATGAACACGAAGAATCTTAGCGAAGGTTTTATGCGGGTGGTGTCGAAATGTAACAGTTTTCTTGATCAAGGTAAGAGTGCAGGAAGGTCCCTACAAGTATCACCTCTCTCACTGCTGTTTAATCAGCACAATAATATTGTTATTCCTTTGATAAACAATGAAATTGACTGGATTAAACCGGTTCAGTACGTTAGCAGAGAGGCTACAGTAACAAGATATACAGGCCAAGGCTTAGGCGAATTACTTAAATAATGAATCACGCTGTCCCATCTGCAACTGAGGACAAATATCATCTGATGATTTGGATTCCTACCTCAACCGTGTAAATTAAAACATATTTGTTTTGGATTCCCTTGATATTTATATTGTGGCTACTGGTACATGTACATGTCGAAATTATTATCATAATGTACAGTAAAATATGTGAAGACTTCCTCTTTCACTTTTGCACTGTTATTAACATCATCGCCTTATTACGTTACTGGTGGGTGGATGAGACCCCAGTGAGTCAGAATAATGTATGCAAAAAGATAAGTATTAATTTGTTTGATTATATTCTCATCAAAGATTTAATGACTCAGTGGTTCAACTCTCAGCTACTACATGTGCATGTACTGGAGTACTACCCCCACCCCCAGCAGATCCAGAGATATTTTCTGACAGTCTGCCAAATTATCTTTGTTGATCCATCCTCCATTTTTAACTGTCTTCCGATAAAAATACTACCCTGGCAGATACCCGTCAATGTAAACTTAAAATTCAAACCATCTTCTGAAAGACCCAGAAGACTGCCCCTCTGGTTTAGGTATTAGGTACATGTATGGCAACTTTTTACATTTATTTATGACTCATAATTTTTTCAGCATGTCAGGCTTCAAGGTCACTTCTTTTGCTGCTTGGTTATCTGTATTTGATTTATTGATTGCATAAAGCTTAATAATATATGTTTATTTATCCTTACCTGTATAGTTAAATTAACCTTAAGTTTTTTTTTTTTTGAATGGACACAAAAAATAAAACAGAATTTATTTTTATTGAGTTTCTCTGTCTTGTAAAACCCATCAGGCCTTTAGAAACACTGGGTTAGAAATTCATGTCTCCCCTTTCAGCCAGCTCTTACTGTCAAACAGACTTAAGAATCATTCCTTTTGATAAATTATTCAGTGTGAATTCACAGAGTTGCCATCACCATGGATCTTTTACTAGTAATCAATACACTAAACCAAAAGATTGTCTTGTTTATCAGGTCATTAGGAATTCATAAAAGTATACCTTGGAGACAGAGGAGGCAGGATTTCAGCAAGTGCAGCATTTTGTGACTGCATAGAATTGGCAACCTGATAATATCTACTAGTACATAGCTTTGAGAAATAGAGAGCTCTACTTTCAAAAAAAAAAAATTAAAAAGGAGCTCTTGGCTAATGGGGATGACTAAGAATTTTCAACCCTCAACTATTTGGTTTATATATGTACTAGTACAAGCAGAAAATATTTTCACCAAATGCTTAAGATAATATTGCTGGCAAAGGGAAATAGAACAATCTTATTAATTTTTATCATATTCACATACTGCTTAGCTTTTTGTTAACAAAATTATATTTGGATAGAAACAAGAAAAGTGCCTCAGTCACGTACCCCAATTAATATTTTTCAGATTAGTCATAGAACATAAAGGTTCCAGTATATTAAAAATTTTATTTAGATTTTTCACAAAATAACTTTTTTTGTCACTTAATGAGTAATTAATACCAGAAAATATTAAACATTTTCACCATTTAAAATATATATGGCAGCTATATACAGAGTGAATTATCTCAAAGCATTTGGAGGAAGTAAGTGTAAACCTGTAGTGTTTGTCTTTGTTTGCCTCACTCTATTTCTCTGGTAGGATCACCTTGGCGTACTGCTGTGTCCTCCTCTGACCTACACCCTGAGTTTACAGGTGTTTTCAGACTAACTGAAGGTATTGGCAATGCTTGGTGTAATATTTGAACCTTAGAGCAACAGAACTGCTTGGAAAATATAAGAAGCAGTTGGATTGAATATTTAGAAATATGATTTGGCAATTTCTGTTTTGCGCACTATCCAGTAGGTATATTCTTTGCACTTTTTCTATTATTATTTAAGCTATTCTTTTATTTTTAAATTCTTTAATTTGCTATTGCAAATAATCATTTCATGTACAGGTATTTGCAAACCCACAATATATTATGCAATGCACAAATAA